ATTCTGCCTAACAAGGGCTCCAGCAGCGACCATGGCATGTTTCTCAACATATACACCATCAAGCAAGGTTGCACCCATGCCAATAAATGCCTCATCCTCAACAGTACATCCTTGTAACACAGCATTATGACCTAAAATCACATTGCCAAAACCTTAGATAGAATTCACAATGCATAAATCATTCACAAAACAATAATTCATCACATCCACTCACCTACAGTGACATTATCTCCAATGATAGCTGGTAAGACTTTTCCAGTTATATTAGACTTGGCAACATGAACAAGGGAATTGTCTTGTATATTAGTTCCAGATCCAATAACAATGCCGTTAACATCACCTTCACGCAAAGCATACTGTTTAGTTAATGGTAGAATACATGGAGAGAAGGACAAATATTGGAAAGAGGAAGCTGGGAAATATCTGCACTCAACCCCCTGATATATTGAGTATGCAATATGCATATAAAATGATTATGAATACATGTATATAGCATATTAATAAGAGTGGTACAACAGTTGTCTTTCACATTCCATTTGGATGTGAGTTGAAGCCATGAAAAGTGAAGGAATAGGTAAAAAATGTGTGGTCCTTACTGTCTTACTCAAAGAAAGCAAAATGCATACTAACTTAAGGCATGTTTGAATATGATTTTGTAGAGTTAATTCTGAATCAACATGATTTATAAAGTAATTCTCAGTAAGTGAGCTTTGTTGGGAAACTTGTAATCAAAATTGATTTTTGACAAGTTATTGCGAAAAATAGGTTTTATTGTACATATACATATACAGAGAGAGGAAAGATCTCCTTACTCCAAGAGTAAGTGTAAGGGAATTACTCCTTATTTTCACCATTCATTTCTTTGTAATCTAATGTCTCATGTAATAATTCATCTTTACCATTAAATTATAAGAAAATAAATGATAAGGATGAGAAGTAACTCCCTTACTCTTGGAATAAGTAGTTTCCTTAGGACATCTCTCCAATAGGAGTAACTCATGATATGTTTCCCACCTTAAAAAATGTAATATATATATATATATATATATATATATATATATATATATATATATATATATATTATATCAAATCATATTTAAGTAACTCATAATTGATTACATTCTAATAAAAATTTACTTAGAAATTTTAAACACTCGTTCTCTCTTCTATTCTCTCTTATCATTTACTCTTTTTTATTTATTTTTATAAGTTTCTTGATGAAGCAACTAATAAAAAATTTCAAGTAATTTATCATGTCATCTAAGATTTCTTGAATGGAAAATTGTTTCAAGCAACTAATACTTTAATTAAATATTTCAATAAACAACTCTTATTGGTGATACTGTTTTATATATATATATATATATATATATATATACACTTTTTACACAGGCGTAGTTACTCGTGTAATTTGAAATAAAATGCATAATATGAAATATTAAAAAATAAATTAAGATAAAAATCACATTTAAAGCAACAAAGAAAGGATACAAATAAGAGAAATAATGCATAATGCCACACAAGTTTGACATACAACTACAATAAAGAGAAAACGAGTCAACCTTGACAGGATACAGAACTCTGTCAGCTAATCTTCAACTATTATTTTTTATTTATTTCAATATTCAAAATATTGATACAAGAAAAAAAAACAATAAAAAAAAACTAAGGATCAAATTAAGCAATTTTAACTATCTTTGGCGTGTGATGTGTAAGTCTCACATTTGGCACTTCAAATTTATCATTATAATCTTCGTATTTTAGTTTGTCTCTGTGGAACTAAAGGGACCTGACCTTTCTGTGCTTTTCAGGTTATTATAAACAATAAAATGAATGTTGCCGCCAAGGATTTGGAACTACACAAACTTGTAATGAAATCAATTAGACTGGAGTCTAAAACATGGAATCTTGTTTCCTACACAAACATGGATCCAAACATATCCTTAGTAAGAAATTATTTTCTAATTCCGTTATTTAAGGTGAGTGTGCATATATATCAGACACACATTTTTGTCTTGTTTGAATAAATTGCTCAATTAGTACTTGTAGAAGAAGAAAATAAGAAGAAAAGTAAAATAAGTTTGTCCATAAGCTAAAATTAACTTGTATATAAACTAATTTATAGAAGTTCTCTCATGTTAGCTTTTTCAAATCCTTATTTTATCTTCTGCATGAGCTGATTTTTATTGATGAGAAGTTTATTCCATTTTTCGTTTCTGATAAGAGCAGAGAAGTTTATTCTAAGATACTTTTTGAAGGAAAAAGCCCACTTTAGAAGCCTTGGCGAGGATTTACGTTTGCATTTCAGACAAACACAAATACATTTCAGACAAAATGAAATACTGATAGTATGCCCGCAAAACTGAATCTCTGAACATTACGATTAATGACTAACAGAACAAGGTACAGTTTGGCAGGGTATGTATTCTTATCATTTTCCAGCAATAGAAGGAAAACCAAAAATCACTTGGCTCCACATTCTTATAGTTGTATCTAACAATTGTAAAATAGTCATTAATTTCCAAACCTATACATTCCGAAAGCTAATATCAGACGAAAAGCAGACAAACCCTAAACAATATTAATAAAAGTTAGAAACAGCCGCGGGTGTTTACCTCTGAGGACGCATCCATACCAAATGGAGGAAGCAGGGCCAACGTGGACATCACCGAGAAGGGAGGCACTGGGAGCCACAAACGCATCCTTGTGAACAGAAGGACCTTTGTCGAATACATTCATGAGAGGTCGGTGCCGAGAAACTGTAAAATTGAAATCGACATAGAATCGTTGAAGAATGGAATGAAACCCTAATTAATTAAATGAAAATGGAAATGAAGACCTGAAGGAATCCATACGCTGTTCTTGGAAAAGATAGTTGCCTTGTAGGCGAGAGCCGAGGCGATCGATTGCTTGGCCGGTCTCACGGATCCAAAATCCGACGACGTAGAAAGCTCTGCCCATGATTCTCATTCTGCTATTGATAATGGTTGTGGCACTGCCGCCTCACTTCTACTCCGATCTTCTCTTCTCTCTTCGTCTCTTCAACCTATTCTTTTTCTCTCTTCAATAACACCTCTAATTTCTGCAAAACATTTATATGATTTACATTAATTTTGTATAAACCAAATAAATAAATAAACATTTCCGTGGATTTAGAAATTAGATTTACCTTTTCAACCATAAATAAATAAATAAATAAATATTTACCTTCTTACAAGCATATTTAATTTTTAACTCTATGAAAATTAGTGTAGTGTTTTGTCTCAAAAAACGATTCATACATGCTACTTACTCCCTTTATATTAGTATATTACTATTTTTGTTGTAAAAAGTATATAATATTGTCACATTAATTTATAAAATAAAAAAATCCTTATAAATGTAATATGTATTTACTGAGTAACTTTAGGAAGTGAGATAAAATTATAGTTTTTTTTTAATTTAAAAAAAATATGACAAAACTTTACCTTTTCACACTAAAGATGTAGTTTATCTAAAATTGAAACGAGTTTTATTTTTTGACAAAGTTTTTCTTTATTAACATGATAAAAAAATAAATTTTAACAATATAAATACAAAAACTTAATTATCTATGACAATATTATATTTTTTACTAAAAAATTAGCGGGTCTTAATGAAAAAAAAGTGCATTTTATAATATTTAGGATAACATATATGAAAATATGGCATTTTTAATATGATCGCATCATAATACTTCATGGTCGCAACTGTTTTTACTAGCTTCTAGGATCTATAATATTTGAAAATTTATACTTATAGTATTAACATACACTTTTAAATATGCTTCTATATTTCAATAAAACATGAGGAAGTAGGACCTATTTGAAATTTAAAACTTCATAAAATACTTCTTATCTTTGTTGTTCAACCGAAATAATTTTAAAAAATATATTCTAAGAAAATAAAAAGCCCACAATCATGCAACAATCATGCAACTAATGTATATTTGTTCCGATTATTTTAAAAATACGGTTAGATTTACTGGAATTCAAAATAATCACAGTTAGGTAGAGTTTTGGATTCTTAAAATTAATTGTTGTAAATCAAATTAATTTGGAAAGTAAACGTTTTTTAAACATTCTCATCATGAAAATGTTCATGAAATAAAAACAAACGTAATTTTACATTTGGAATACTAATTTCAAAATATTTTTTTGTTTAAATTAATTTTCTCAAAATCTAACCCAAATTGAGTTTTAAATTTAAATAAATTTTAAGACTCTCAAAACAAGACTAAATCTAACTTAAGTTATATTTTAAAATAAAAGTTAACTTTTTACCTAATTTCAATTTACATTAGATCAATAGAACTCTGATTAAATAAATAAAAAAATCATGAGATATTTATATAAAAATAATTAATTTAAAAAAATATTTTTATAATAAATTATATTACTAAAATAATTTTTATTTCATATATAATAACTAAATTCTTAAAATAAAAATTCCTTCACTTCAAAATATAAATTAAAAATTTACTTCAAATTCTTATTATTCATTAATCTAATAATCTATAATAATAATAATAATAATAATTCATTTTAATCATTAAAATTTACTCAATAAATTAATATTAAAAAATTTCTCTAACTTATAATATCAGGATAATTTATTTTTTTCTTCAATTTATTTATAATATATATATATATATAATAAAATAATATTATTTTTATTTAATTTAAAAAATAAGTATTATTTTATAAGATATGAAAGTCGAAATCTTACCCGCTAATATAACCTAACCACCAACTAAACAAGTTCAATCAAAATTTATATTTTTCACAACACAACGGGTTAGAGAGCCTAGCAGCACGAGTGCCCTAACACAACGGACACGGAAACCAGAATGTTGAAGTTTCATTCATATTTTTCACAATTAATTGGACACTGAGGTAACACAACGGACACGGAAACGGAGTTTCATTCATATTTTTCACAATTAATTGGACACTGACGTTGAGTATCAAATTTCTAAAATGTTAGCGCCTTAATATCTCAGTTAATCCCTCAGTTACTAAAGCAACGTACAAATCCCTGCAAAATGAAACACCCATTTCAGACACAAAATTTGAGTCGCGGTAAAGGAAAGTAGCTTACATGGATAACTTGATGGCATCGACTGCATCTTTAGCTGGTCGATAGTCCTCAACTTCAACTTTTACGGTTTCAGTCTTCTTGTCTAGAGTGGGAAGCTAAGGATTCACGCAGAAAACTAGGAGATGCGGCATGAATATAAGAAAATCACTTAGCAGTCATCAATACTATGGGAGATTTAGTGTATTTGGTTACAATCCATTAGAAACTCCTTGCACGGGTAAATGTGAATGTAAAAAGTTTTAATTCTTTAGGCTCTATTCTAAGAGAAGGCTAATCATCAATGTGTAAAAAGCTCAATAACTACGTACTGTACTGTGATGCGTGTGGTTACTGGTTTTATGTACAAGAGCAAATAAACAGGATACAGTCCTCACATAATGTTATGATTTCAGCTAAGCAATATGGAGGAAGCTCCTTGACATCCGTGTAATGACTGAACTCAAGGTCATCAACACAAACTGCTATGATATTGTAATCCCTCTCACCCTGTACAAGAAATCATTATAAAACATAAATTTTCTCCAAATTTATACTTTAATAGGTGACAAAATTATTCATATTGTGTGATGTCAAAAGGCAAGTGAATTATAAAATGAACAGAAATTGCAGTTAGATCCCTATAATAGTTTTGACATACAATTAACAATGTTTCTTGCAACCTAAAATTTTATTTTGTTGCTCCCAAGAACTGAACCTCCATCTCAATCTAACACTTATAAAAATGGACTAGGATTAAAAGGTTAATGGTGATAAATTTCACCATATCATACCAACTACATGGTGGCGTGGTTTTGTTTATCCTTTAAACAGACTTTGATGTTCAATGCACTAGTACTGGCAGGGAAGCTAATAATTACCTAATATACCCTTTTTTCTCAGAGTAGACCTTCTCACCCTCAGTTATATTTTATTGTCCCAAAACAAATCTTAATGACAAACAGAAAGCAAGGAGGAGGCAACTTATACCTGGATAACCGTGGACATTAGTCCAATAGCGCGAGCACGAAGGACTGAACCAGGAAGCACGGGCTCCTTCTCGGAAGAAAAGTTCAAATTTAAGTACAGTTGAAATTTTGGCCGGAAACAGACATTTCTGTTAAGTACATCAACAAAAATTAAATTAAGCATAAACTACCCGCATTAGAACCAGCACGTTCATAGGATCACTGTCTTCACAAATTGTTCTTGGGATAAAACCATAGTTGTGTGGGCAAACGGATGAGTAAAGAATCCGATCAACCTAAGTTGTCAAGCTCTTTCGTTAGTGTGTTATTTATGCTTCAACACAGACAGGTAGCAATGATAATAAGTTTGGAAATGGTAAATGACAATACTATCTCGTTAAAAGAAAGTCTCTCATATTTTTCAAATACATCAAAGCATATGGAACGGAAGATGGGGAATGTAATTAAGAACTTGGAAACCTTACCTTCATATGTCCACTAGTCTTGTCGAAGACATACTTGACCTTACTACCTTTGCTAATTTCAACTACCTGCCATGGGAATTGATTAAGAAAAATTTGTTAGGAAACAAGGGTTTCATGAAATTATCTATGTAGGCAAAATGTAAGATTTTAAGTTCCAATGAGATCGCCTTATTTAATCTCAACCAAGTCATATAAAATGAGGAGTTCATTATCATCTCGTCCTTGTTAAAGCTAAAGTACTTTTTCAAGCTGCATTTACTACAAGTAGAAATCTGTAATATTTGAATGATTGTCAGAACTATATTAATATAAGCCCCAAAACTCAGATGGCCATGATGTTGCAAGAAGCGTCCTCATAAGTTTGTATTTTTATTTTTATTTTTATTTTTTGTTTTCTAATAATCGGAAAATAAGTTACAAAACAGCAACAGCTTACACAGTTGAAAACTGTTGGAGCTCCTGGTCCTGCATGTAGAAAAACAAGTTTTCAGTCCAAATACAAATTTTGTTCAAGAGGATCTCTTGAAGCACAATAATTTCAACTTGATCGACGAGAAAACAAGCAAAACAGTTATTTTTCCTTGAAAAACCTAAATTCATCATAATCAAAAGCGTTTCCCTAACAAATCCAAAAAGTTGGTGTACCAATCTCTATGTCGTGCCAGGGGTGAGCAGCACAATCCTGAGCAAAATTGGAATAGTTCGGGGCAGATTGTGAGGAGAAGGTCCTTTTATCTTTTGTGCCCATCCTCGTAAACCTTGCTGGATTACAGTTCATGGTAGATTACAGTTCATGGTAGAATACAGTTCATGGTAGAATACAGTTCATGCTTGAAAAACCTAAATTCATCATAATCAAAAGCATTTCCCTAACAAATCCAAAAAGTTGGTGTACCAATCTCTATGTTGTGCCAGGGGTGAGCAGCACGATCCTGAGCAAAATTGGTATAGTTTGAGGCAGATTGTGAGGAGAAGGTTATTTTATCTTCTGTGCCCATCCTCATAAACCTTGCTGGATTACAGTTCATGGTAGATTACAGTTCATGGTAGAATACAGTTCATGGTAGAATACAGTTCATGGTAGAATACAGTTCATGGTAGAATACAGTTCATGGTAGAATACAGTTCATGGTAGAATACAGTTCATGGTAGAATACAGTTCATGGTAGAATACAGTTCATGGTAGAATACAGTTCATGGTAGAATACAGTTCATGGTAGAATACAGTTCATGGTAGAATACAGTTCATGGTAGAATACAGTTCATGGTAGAATACAGTTCATGGTAGAATACAGTTCATGGTAGAATACAGTTCTTGGTAGAATACAGTTCTTGGTAGAATACAGTTCTTGGTAGAATACAGTTCTTGGTAGAATACAGTTCATGGTAGAATACAGTTCATGGTAGAATACAGTTCATGGTAGAATACAGTTCATGGTAGAATACAGTTCTACTCAACCACCTGATATATTGAGTATGCAATATGCATATAAAATGATTATGAATACATTTTTGTACTGTTTGAATAAATTGCTCAATTAGTACTTGTAGAAGAAGAAAATAAGAAGAAAAGTAAAATAAGTTTGTCCATAAAGCTAAAATTAACTTGTATATAAATTAATTTATAGAAGTTCTCTCATGTTAGCTTCTATTCCATTTTTAGTTTCTGATAAGAACAGAGAAGTTTATTATTCTAAGAGACTTTTTGAAGGAAAAAGCCCACTTTAGAAGCCTTGGCGAGGATTTACGTTTGCATTTCAGAAAAAACACAAATACATTACAGACAAAATGAAATACTGATAGTATGCCCGCGAAACTGAATCTCTGAACATTACGATTAATGACTAACAGACCAAGGTACAGTTTGGCAGGGTATGTATTCTTATCATTTTCCAGCAATAGAAGGAAAACCAAAAATCACTTGGCTCCACATTCTTATAGTTGTATCTAACAATTGTAAAATAGCCATTAATATACAAACCTATACATTCCGAAAGCTAATATCAGACGAAAAGCAGACAAACCCTAAACAATATTAATAAAAGTTGGAAAAAGCCGCGGGTGTTTACCTCTGAAGACGCATCCATACCAAATGGAGGAAGCAGGGCCAACGTGGACATCACCGAGAAGGGAGGCACTGGGAGCCACAAACGCATCCTTGTGAACAGAAGGATATTTGTCGAATACATTCATGAGAGGTCGGTGCCGAAAAACTGTAAAATTGAAATCGAAAAAGAATCATTGAAGAATGAAATGAAACCCTAATTAATTAAATGAAAATGGAAATGAAGACCTGAACGAATCCATACGCTGTTCTTGGAAGTTGCCTTGTATGCGATAGCCGAGGCGATTGATTGCTTGGCCGGTCTCACGGATCCAAAATTCTACGGCGTAGAAAGCTGTATCTATGATTCTCATTCTGTTCTTGATGTTCTTGATAGTGGTTGTGGCTGTCAAAGGTTAATTGGAATTCTCAGTCACTCTCTCAATCTCACACGAGTATTGAAGATGAATCACAATAGGAAAATTGTATATTGATGATAATACTTTGGGATTATATCATCTCCTATTTATAACTATTATTTCTTAATTAACTCTTATTATTTCTTTTTATTATAAATCACCTATAACAATTTTCCCGCCATAAAAAATGACCTTATCCGCACCTAATTTAAAATACGAAAACGATTCTTTAACAACCGAAAACAAACAATCTGTTAGACAACTGAGGCTAAAAAGAAATTAATTAAAAATAAGGGTTTGATTAGTAAAATTATATGGGTTCAGATACGTAATATTGTAAAAATAGGGGATGTTATTGAAAGTGATACTAGCAAAGATCTCAGTGATTTGATGAAGTCAAAGATATAGTCAAAGGTCAACTCTGCAATAGTCAAACAAGTCACTCAGAAGAATGGAGCTGAAGACTTAGTGTGTCTTAACAGAAAGCTTAGGTAAAACCACTTTACCTTTTCCACTGCATGAAACTCCTTCACTCAATTTGCAAAATGCCTCAAAAATAGTTTTAAACAAATCAAACAAAAGCATTTTGACAAAGAACTTTCTTAACAATGTTTTTAACTGATATAGTTTTAAAAGAAACAATTAAAATCACTTAGAATGCGTAAAGAAGTGTTTTTACAGTATTTTAATCGATACAAACTTCTTTTAATCGATTAAAACCCTTTATGACCGATTAGAATTCGAATATGACAGGTCAGAATGAAATATAATCGATCAGACTTTAAATATGAGCGATTAGATTTATTTTAATCGATTAAAACACGTTTTAATCGATTAAAACCACTTTGGAAGTCAGGATGATCGATCAGAATGAAATTATGACCGATTAGAGTTGGTTATGATCAATCAGAATTGAATTATGACCGATCACACTTATTTCAATCGATTAAAACGAACTTTCAATCGATTAAAATGACTTGAAAATTTTTTTACAGAGTTTCAATCGATTAAAACGCATTTCAATCGATTAAAATAACTTGGAAAATCTTTGTACAGAGTTTCAATCGATTAAAACGCGTTTCAACCGATTAAAACAACTTAGAAAAATTCTGTGCAGGTTTTTAATCGATTAAAACTTCTTTGTATCAGTTAAAATAACTTGGAAAATTTTATAAGAAAGTTTTTAAACAAATAAATCGATTGAATCACTCTCAGAAAATGTTTGTAAAATGTTTTAACTGATATAAACGTGGTCATATCAGCTAAAACAATTCTGTTAAAGAAGTAAGAACGCATTAATGGGTTGAAAGGACTTTTAACAGATTATAACGGCTATTTCAACATATTAAAACAAACTTTCAACAGATTAATTAATGCAGCTTTTTCTGAAAACTCTTTATAAACAGTTTTGATTGAATTTTTTAAACATAAGATTGAATATCAGTTTTCATACAAACATTCAAGCAACTGTTAAGCATCTTTTTCCAAGAAAGATTCGCAACCACTTTGTGAACTTCTTTTGAAATCTTTCTTGAGGCACTTTGCATTTCTTTGAAGGAGAAACTTACTGTGGATTAGCGTAATCCGGTTTGAGCTTTCTTGTTTCTTCTTTTAAATTTCTATTCATTCATTTGTACTGTTTTGTACCTGGAATTTGGGTACAAGTTTTCTGCAGCTGTTGTAGAAAGTTGCCAAGAACTGGAATTTGGTTCTTGGTGGAAAGGTTAAAGTCAGGAACTGGAAATTGGTTCTGGTGTTAGAATAGGTGTAAGAGTGTGAGTCTGTAAAACATCTATTCTAGTGGAACCCAGCTGGAATTTGGCTGGAGACTGGACGTAGCCCTGGTATTGGGTGAACCAGTATAAAACTACCGGTAAAATCTTTCTTAACCTTTCTCTCTTTAATTTCAGTTGCTGCGCTTGTATTGCTTAATTACTTTGTGAATTCGTGAATTGATAAGTAAACTTAATTTTCGGATTAGATAATCTGTGTATTGCGAAAAACTTTCAAAAATCAATTCACCCCCCCTCTTGATTTAAAACTACTTTTCTAACAGTTATAGAAGAATTGAAGGGCTCGTTCTTCCTGGCTTCCAGGCTCCTGCCTTTCCATGAGTTTGTAGAGCAAAGACGGGGCCAGTGAGTGCCACCTAAAGATTCGAAAGTCAAATCGATACCCAGCTGCGTCACACTAAGGGCATAGACGAGAGCAGAGTAAGCGCCCAAGCAGCCAACAGCATAAAAAGTTTTCTCCTTTCGTTTGGTTTCCCAGTAGTAGTCCCCGCCAAGAGTGAATAAGAAAGCTCTTGGCGCCTTTGTACGAGCTCATATGAGAAAAAGTAACTCAAGGGTACACTTTTCTCCTTCCCGGATTTGCAGGAGTTTACTTTCGTTTGGTAAAGGTTGAACTGTCGCTGTCGCTCAAGCGATTACGTAGTCGCTCGAGCGCGAGGCGACCTTAGATAGCGGTTGGCAAAATAACCGCTATAATAAATGTAGTTCAAATAGCGGTTAGGCAAATAACCGCTATTTAAAGTCATAATGTATAGTTCAGATAGCGGTTGGCCAATTAACCGCTATCTAAAGTCATATATGTAAAACTGATCGATTATAATAGGGTAATAATCGATCATAATGCATAGTTTAGATAGCGGTCGGCCAAATAACCGCTATTTAAAGTCATATGTCAATCTGATCGATTATAATCGGATAATAATCGATCATAATGCATAGTTTAGATAGCGGTTGTCCAAATAACCGCTATCTAAATGAGGGGGGGGGGCGGGGTGAGTTGTTCTTTAAAAGTTTTTCGCAAATAACAGATGATCTAATATCACCGGTGTTTTATACTGGTTCACCCAATACCAGGGCTACGTCCACCAAATTCCAGCTGGGTTTCACTAGATCAAATGTTTTACAGATTTACAATCTTACACTTAATCTACCACAAGAACCAAATTCCAGTTCTTGATAACCTCTACGACCAAATCCCAGGCACCAACACCTAACCTTTGACCAAGAACCAAATTCCAGTTCTTGACAACTGCTGGTTTAATTAATCTGTTAAAAGATTCTTTTAATCTGTTAAAAGTGCAGTTTTAATCTGTTAAAACTTCTTTTAATCCATTAATACGTTCTTGATTCTCTAACATATTTGTTTTAACTGATACGACAACGTTTGTATCAATTAAAACACTTTACAAACAAATCTTCTAAGTTGATTTAATCGATTGTTTCGTGATTCAATCGATTGAAATACTGCAAAACTTTCTTGTAAAACTTCTCAAGTTATTTTAACTGATAAAAATAAGTTTTAATCGATTAAAGAGTTGTGTAGAAATTTTCTAAGTTGTTTTAATCGATCATAATTGATTCTGATGGGTCATAATTCAATTCTGAGCGGTCATAAGAATATTTATCCTCTTTCTCCAATTCAGCTCTTGAGCTTCCACGTCATAAGACAAGTTGCAAACATACACTTGTTATGCAAACAAAAGCCATAAAGCTTAATGATGTTACGATGGCGAATTTCTGTCACGATCTTGGTCTCGTAGCGCACCCACTCAGAAGCGACTTCTTCAAGTACCCAAACTGTGACCACGAAGGAGGTCATAGCCCCAAAGGTCCTTCACACCCAATACTTTGTCAATAACGGATTTGACTTCAATAGCAAAATATAACCGATCATATACCACTTATAATCGACCACTTTTCGCTCGAGCGATAATAACATCGCTTGAGCGAGACAGAACCCGAGAGTCTCCCTTGTTTGAAGGCTACGTCGCTCAAGCGAAAACTTTATCGCTTGAGCTAGTTTATACCCAATGACGAAACGTCAAACGCAGTTAGCCAAATAATTTAAGTTGGTTCACTATTAGAATCACTTTTCGCTCGAGCGGTCATAACCTCGCTTGAGCGAGACAGAACCCGAGAGTCTCCCTTGTTTGAAGGCTGCGTCGCTCAAGCGAAAACTTTATCGCTTGAGCGAGTTTATACCCAATGACGAAACGTCAAACGCAGTTAGCCAAATAATTTAAGTTGGTTCACCACATATTAGAATCACTTTTCGCTCAAGCGTTCAAACCGTCGCTCGAGCGAGATAGAACCCGAGAGTCTCCCTTGTTTGAAGGCTACGTCGCTCAAGCGAAAACTTTATCGCTTGAGCGAGTTTATACCCAATGACGAAACGTCAAACGCAGTTAGCCAAATAATTTAAGTTGGTTCACTATTAGAATCACTTTTCGCTCGAGCGGTTATAACCTCGCTTGAGCGAGACAGAACCCGAGAGTCTCCCTTGTTTGAAGGCTACGTCGCTCAAGCGAAAACTTTATCGCTTGAGCGAGTTTATACCCAATGACGAAACGTCAAACGCAGTTAGCCAAATAATTTAAGTTGGTTCACCACATATTGGAATCACTTTTCGCTCAAGCGTTCAAACCGGCGCTTGAGCGAGATAGAACCCGAGAGTCTCCCTTGTTTGAAGGCTACGTCGCTCGAGCAATGTCTTTATCGCTTGAGTGAGTTTATACCCAATGACGAAACGTCAAACGCAGTTAGCCAAATAATTTAAGTTGGTTAACCACCTATTAGAATAAGTGTGTTTTTTGAAAATGTGAAAAATATAATTTATCAATGTAATGTTAAAATTATGTGTTTCCGTGTGTAGATTAGAATCTTGGGAAATCTGTGTTCCTACGAAGAAAGAAGATGAAGCGAGATCCATGCCCATTTATTTATATTAAAAACATGCAGACAAAACAAAGGTGATGCATTCCAGTACTGTCCTATGTTGTATAATTGGAGTTGGATTTGTTTGTTTGGACTTTGTACGGTGTCGGGGTAAATGTCTCGATCAACTTTTTCTTCTTCTTTTCAGATTAATAATCAACCCACTTTCTGCTTATTTTCGTAAGTTCATAAAATTATTTTTAGATTGCAATTTCATTTGGATCATAGATATTAAAAACTCATTTGAAAACAATGCTTTATTAAAATAAAATAAAAAAAAAGGCAAAGGTAGTGAGAACCATCGTGATAATAAAAATATACATATCATGAAAATACATTTTTTGAAAGTTCAAAATTAAATTTTAGTGAAGAAGCGCGATTCCTTTGTTTTCAATTAAAAGTGATTTTATTTTTGGTAATTAATTTCAATAAATAAAGGTAGTTAGACACCATTGTGGAGATAAAAATATGTATACTATGAGAGAGTAAAATAAGAAAGTACAGTAACTACAAATTCAAATTAATTTTAAGTGAAACAGATATATCTTTTGATTGTTTCCATCCAAGTTAATTTTTCAATTAAAATTACTTTTAATTTAGTATCCAAACATCTTAAATTGGATCAAACCAAAATTGACTAAACTTGCATGATCTCACCTCTAACCCAAATATATAATAATTTTTTAGATTTGTAAAAGAAAAATTGTATTGAAGGAGTTTTAATGATATAAATAAGATATAATGAAGAAAAAAAGAGGAAAAATGTGTTCTTTTTTTTATGATTTTAATAAAATTCTATCTTAGTCTTTATATTTTCAAATAAATTGTTTAAAAAATTTGGAAAGCTAATTTCTCTCCACTAATTTTATTAGTGGCTATGTTAACATGATAAACAGTTTACTTACATTTGTTACAAATTAAAATATAGATTTTAACAATTCCAAACCATGATTTTCTACACTAGCTAGCATTTTATTTTTACCATAGAAAAGGAAAAAATGTCAATGGCAACTCCACAATCAAGTTTATCCAGATGTAATATAGAGAACAACATAAAACCCTAGATGTCTTAATTTTTAGTATTTATTATTAAATATATATTAAGATGGTTAAAAACTTACCCAAATTCATGATTTGAATACTTTGACCTTTTTTTCACTCTTGTCTAACTGTTGGTTTTGATAACAATTTAAGTTCCTTTTAATTTTAAGAAGAATAAAAAAAATTCCCCTAACCTACTCTGAAAAATTAATTAATTTTATGACTTTATAACATTTCTACTTTGTTTTTTAATTATACAACATCACTTTTTTTCTAAACGCATTCTTAATAATATTAATGACTGAGATAACTTAAAAAAAATAGCTAAAATTGAAAATTTTCTAAATTAAATAATTAAAATAAGAGTTTTTATCCGTACTTAAAATGAGAGTTAGGTTAAATTATAACATAAATTATATATCATAATAGTTAGTATAACACACAATGATGATATATGAACAAAGATTATGATACTTATTGCTTCACATGCAAAAATGATTGTGTTTATGAATGTATGACACTAAAATTCAATTATTATATAATTAAAGTAATTATGATTTTAAATCTGAAACTCTTTTATCTTTTTCTTTCTTAAACGAAGAATACATTCTGGGGAGTGTGGGAAGTAAAACGAAGGTAAGATTCAAATTGTTCTACCATCTTTTCGATACTGTTTCTTGCTATTCAAAATTGAATGATGTTAATTTGTGTTTGAAAGGAAAAAGAAATATTTTTAATTCAAAATACCATTTTTTTTAAGAAAAAAGGTGCAAATGGACCCATGTGTTGGCCACTTCAAATTCACTATGAACTCATGCATATGCATATTCAAAATAAAGTTGCGATCTTGTGTTTGTGTATGCCACCATTGCATAACTCCAACGTAAGTATTCGATTCAGCGTCCATTACTATGAACATGCTTCAACTTTGAAACAAACAAAAAGTTTCTTACTTTCTGCTTGGTTTTTAAAATTTTGTGATAGGTTTGTCGGAAAATGCGGATCCTAAACTTATTTATATCCAAACTTTTGAATTAATAAGTGGCAATGAAGACTTTGATAAGGCTCGCACCAGAATTTCAGCTCAATGAGGAACAACAACACCGTTATTTAATTTATTATTCAGTTAACAGAATTTTTCTCTTAACTTTTAATTTTTTTTTTTGTTATCAACATTGGGCATGAAAGTGTGCTTGCCAGATTTATCCCAATTCAAAATTAAAAAAAAAAAGTTTACTTAGAGTATTGTTGAAATTCTTAAACAAAGTATTACTTTCTTGAACATTTTTTTTTGAGAAATTTTATGTATCATAATAAATTGTTTAATTTTTTTATAATTACTTCATTAAATAATTTATAAAAATAAATATATTAAAATAAATGAGAAAAAAATGAAATATTTTGAAATTTATTAAAAAAATTTGTTAAAATAAAATTAATGATAAATTATTTTAAAAATGATGTGATACAGTATATTTATATTTTATATTTTTCAAATTAAAAAACGGCTCGTATTACTTACTCCTGTTGAATATACTATCAACATAATATTTACGTTTTGATTTTTCATCAAATAGTCACTTACATTAAATCTAAAAATTAAATATAAATTTTAAGTTTAAATAAAATATGAAAAGTGAATATAAAATTTGTATTAAATTTGAATTAAATAAAATTCGATTTAAATTCTCTGTTGACTTTGAACAAATAGCAGAATTGAATGGAACAATAAATACTTCTGATACATTTCTCTTCAACTTGAAAGGATAACAGGAAAGGAGTACTACTATGTTCATTTAATATTTTTAATTAGGTTAACATTTTGTAAGTATTATTTAGAATTTTCATTTATGATAAAAAATAATAATTAAAAAATAAAACTTCATTAAAGATAATCAGTGACGTTTTACAATAAAATCCAATCGTCCACATTTTAGTAAATATTTCACTCTAGATGATAAAAATTAATAAGTTAAAAATATTTTGTAGCTTATCATCGGTGAAAAAATTCAAATAGTACATTTTTTTAAATTTTATTATGTAGTATACTTTACTGTATTGTGAGAAATTACTTTTTAGAAGCAATATGTTATTCGAGATATTAGCATGTGATTTCTTAGGCATATCCTAATTCATAATATATATATCCAATAAAATTGTTTCTTAAGAAAATATCATGTGGTCCTAGATATATAAAAGTATATTTTTTATTACAATTTTTAAATAGTTAAGAGGAAGTATTTAACAAAATCTATTAAACCTGAAATACAAAATATATAGTAAATATTTAAGTTTTTAATAAGAGTATTATAATTTTAATGAGTTAAACAAACAGAAAATAAAATTTTATCATTTTATGAGGATTTTTTTCTATGACTAATAATTATAATTAGATTATTGTTGATATTGTTTTAAGCATTATCAATATGGCATTTATTAGGTATCGTAATGAAATACGATCATCAAAAGAATTGGAATGAATTTTATCTTCATATAAAAGAATAAGTATATCTTGTTCTCTGAAGGATCATCAATTCTGTTGTCGTCCAGCGGTTAGGATATCTGGCTTTCACCCAGGAGACCCGGGTTCGATTTCCGGCAACGGAATTTTTTTAAAGTTATTTACACAATTTTTAACATTTGATTTATTTTTAGCGTTGTAGCTCATAATTGTTTCATCATTAATTTTTTTTACCAAAAGTTAATATTATTAATTCATTAAAAATTACTACAATCTTATTATTTTATTGTTTCGAATAATTATAACAATATTTTTATTATAAAATATCAGGGTGTAAAATTACCTTTTAGACTGTTCAGTAGTTTTCTTAGTTTGCATGAGTGATAAGTTGTTTAATTAAAAATAAATAAAACTGTGATATGCAATGGTAAGAAGTATTCAAGAACAAAAAGTGAAAATGGGTTGCTGAGATGGAAATATCCTTAAGCTTGAGTTGAATTTTTGTTTTGTTCCGGACAACTACGTCATAAGTTGTCTTTAAATGCACTCTACACAAAGGGAGAACTACAGTTATTAACATGCAAAGCAACATACGTGTGACTGACATGTGTCAAAAAAAATAAAAATTGTAATCCATGAAAATAAAGGTTTGAACCGGCATATCTGAATTGATATTCTTTATTTTAAAATACATTCCCAACTACAGTGCTGCGAACTATAGATGTGTCCCTGGGTGACTATAAAACTATTAACTGTTGAATTGCACAAAACGGAAGGCTTCTTATTGAGCACAGGGACGAATAAAGCCGCGTGCTATAAGACGTGCAGCATGAGTTGACATTTGAGATAACAGTTTAAGCTCTCCAAATTACTGGAAACAAAAGTAGCCATTCTCCGGAAATTTGCACATAAAAGATACTAGAAAAGAAAGAAAAAAAATTAAGCCTTGGGAGCTTTATCTAGCAAAACATTATCCTGAAGGTTAAGCTCTGCAGGCGTTTCTTGACCACCACCTAGCACTGAATCATATTCCTCACGACGACCAGCAAATTTCTTGTTAAGAACTTTTAAAAATTCAGTCTTCTCAAGTTCTTTTGCATTTTCAGCAGCATGAGCCTGAGCCAAATTGGAATAGTTCAAGGCAGATTGTGAGAAGAAGGTCATTTCATCTTCTGTGAGCTTCCTCAAGAACCTTGCTGGATTACCTCCCCAAACCTGCAATTCAAAGCAGTCGTTCAGTTTAAAATCCCATGCCTGATGTAAGAAAATAAGACCTTTCTAACCATACATTTAAATTTAGGCCTGAGTTGTTGGACAACTTTCATTGATAACTCTAAGAAATCATAACATGTGTTAAACTTTCAAGAGAGAGACAGAGCGCAGAACAAAACACATTCCATTCCCTACAAAGGAAAACAGAAGATTTATACAAACCTCTCCATAAGGAATCCTTGTATTCTGCCTAACAAGGGCTCCAGCAGCAACCATGGCATGTTTCTCAACATATACACCATCAAGCAAGGTTGCACCCATGCCAATAAATGCTTCATCCTCAACAGTACATCCTTGTAACACAGCACTATGACCTAAAATCACATTGCCAAAACCTTAGATAGAATTCACAATGCTTAAATCATTCACAAAACAATAATTCATCACATTCACTCACCTACAGTGACATTATCTCCAATGATAGCTGGTAAGACTTTTCCAGTTATATTAGACTTGGCAACATGAACAAGGGAATTGTCTTGTATATTAGTTCCAGATCCAATAACAATGCCGTTAACATCACCTTCACGCAAAGCATACTGTTTAGTTAAATGGTAGAATACAGGGAGAGAAGCACAAATATTGGAAAGAGGAAGCTGGGAAATATCTGCACTCAACCCCTGATATATTGAGTATGCAATATGCATATAAAATTATTATGAATACATGTATATAGCATAGTAATAAGAGTGGGACAACAGTTGTCTTTCACATTCCATTGGATGTGAGTTGAAGCCATGAAAAGTGAAGGAATAGGTAAAAAATGTGTGGTCCTTACTATCTTACTCAAACAAAGCAAAATGCATACTAACTTAAGGCGTGTTTGAATATGATTTTGTAGAGTTAATTCTGAATCAACATCATTTATAAAGTAATTCTCAGTAAGTGAGCTTTGTTGGGAAACTTGCAATCAAAATTAATTTTTGACAAATTATTGCGAAAAATAGGTTTTATTGTACATATACATATACAGAGAGAGGAAAGATCTCCTTACTCCAAGAGTAAGTGTACGGGAATTACTCCTTATTTTCACCCTTCATTTCTTTGTAATCTAATGGTCTCATATAATAATTCATCTTTACCATTAAATTATAAGAAAATAAATGATAAGGATGAGAAGTAACTCCTTACTCTTGGAATAAATAGTTTCCTTAGGACATCTCTCCAATAGGAGTAACTCATGATATGTTTCCCACCTTAAAAAATGTAATATATATATATATATATATATTTATTATATCAAATCATATTTAAGTAACTCATAATTGATTACATTCCAATAGAAATTTACTTAGAAATTTTAAACACCCGTTCTCCCTTCTATTCTCTCTTATCATTTACTCTTTTTATTTATTTTTATAAGTTTCTTGATGAAGCAACTAACAAAAAATTTCAAGTAATTTATCATGTCATCTAAGATTTCTTCAATGGAAAATTGTTTCAAGCAACTAATACTTTAATTAAATATTTCAATAAACAACTCTTATTGGTGATATTGTTATATATATATATATATATATATATATATATATATATATATATATATATATATATATATATATATATACACTTTTTACACAGGCGTAGTTACTCGTGTAATTTGAAATAAAATGCATAATATGAAATATTAAAAAATAAATTAAGATAACAATCACATTTAAAGCAACAAACAAAGGATACAAATAAGAGACATAATGCATAATGCCACATAAGTTTGACATACAACTACAATAAAGAGAAAACGAGTCAACCGTGACAGGATACAGAACTCTGTCAGCTAATCTTCAACTATTATTTTTTTTTATGTCAATATTCAAAATATTGATACAAAAAAAAAACAATAATAATAAAAAAAAAACTAAGGATCAAATTGAGCAATTTTAGCTATCTTTGGCGTGTGATGTGTAAGTCTCACATTTGGCACTTCAAATTTATCATTATAATCTTCGTATTTTAGTTTGTCTCTGTGGATCTAAAGGGACCTGACCTTTCTGTGCTTTTCAGGTTATTATAAACAATAAAATGAATGTTGCCGCCAAGGATTTGGAACCACACAAACTTGTAATGAAATCAATTAGACTGGAGTCTAAAACATGGAATCTTGTTTCCTACACAAACATGGATCCAAACATATCCTTAGTAAGAAATTATTTTCTAATTCCGTTATTTAAGGTGAGTGTGCATATATATCAGACACACATTTTTGTCTTGTTTGAATAAATTGCTCAATTATTACTTGTAGAAGAAGAAAATAAGAAGAAAAGTAAAATAAGTTTGTCCATAAGCTAAAATTAACTTGTATATAAACTAATTTATAGAAGTTCTCTTATGTTAGCTTTTACAAATCCTTATTTTAACTTGTGCATGAGCTGATTTTTATTGATGAGAGAAGTTTATTCCATTTTTCGTTTCTGATAAGAGCAGAGAAGTTTATTCTAAGAGACTTTTTGAAAGAAAAAGCCCACTTTAGAAGCCTTGGCGAGGATTTAAGTTTGCATTTCAGACAAACACAAATACATTTCAGACAAAATGAAATACTGATAGTATGCCCGCGAAACTGAATCTCTGAACATTACGATTAATGACTAACAGACCAAGGTACAGTTTGGCAGGGTATGTATTCTTATCATTTTCCAGCAATAGAAGGAAAACCAAAAATCACTTGGCTCCACATTCTTATAGTTGTATCTAACAATTGTAAAATAGTCATTAATTTCCAAACCTATACATTCCGAAAGCTAATATCAGACGAAAAACAGACAAACCCTAAACAATATTAATAAAAGTTAGAAACAGCCGCGGGTGTTTACCTCTGAGGACGCATCCATACCAAATGGAGGAAGCAGGGCCAACGTAGACATCACCGAGAAGTGAGGCACTGGGAGCCACAAACGCATCCTTGTGAACAGAAGGACCTTTGTCGAATACATTCATGAGAGGTCGGTGCCGAGAAACTGTAAAATTGAAATCGAAATAGAATCGTTGAAGAATGAAATGAAACCCTAATTAATTAAATGAAAATGGAAATGAAGACCTGAAGGAATGCATACGCTGTTCTTGGAAAAGATAGTTGCCTTGTAGGCGAGAGCCGAGGCGATCGATTGCTTGGCCGGTCTCACGGATCCAAAATCCGACGGCGTAGAAAGCTCTGCCTATGGTTCCCATTCTGCTCTTGATAGTGGTTGTGGCACTGCCGCCTCACTTCTACTCCGATCTTCTCTTCTCTCTTCGTCGTCTTTTCCACCTATTCTTCTTCTCTCTTCGAGAACACCTCTAATTTCTGCAAAACATTTTACATGATTTACATTAATTTTGTATAAACCAAATAAATAAATAAACATTTCCGTGGATTTAGAAATTAGATTTACCTTTTCAACAACAAATAAATATTTACCTTCTTACAAGCATATTTTATTTTTAACTCTATGAAAAATAGTCTAGTGTTTTGTCTCAAGCAAGGATACATGCTACTTACTCCCTTTATATTAGTATATTACTATTTTATAAATTAATATGACAAATTCTACCTTTTTACACTAAAGATATAGTTTATCTATAATTGAAACAAGTTTTATTTGTTGACATGATAAAAAAAATTTAATAATATAAATAAAAAACTTAATTATCGATGACAATATTATATTTTTTACTACAAAATTAGCGGGTCTTAATGAAAAAAAAGTGCATTTTATAATATATAGGATCCACACCAAATTTTAGGATAACATATATGAAAATATAGTCACATTTTTAATATGATCTTATCATAATACTTCATAGTCGCAACTGTTCTTATTAGTTTCTAGGATCTATAATATTTGAAATTAAAAAAAAAAGTTTTCAATCATAATCAATTAATATATATATATATATATATTTATATTAGTTTCAATTATATATATGTAAAACAAAATATATATTATTATTTAGAAAAACAAATAATCGAATTATATTAGGTAAAAGGAATGTGACTTTTTAATTATGGGAAGACATGAGCATTAAACAGTTATTTTAAATGGAGGATGATTATTAGTTTATATTTTATTAAACATTTTTTAATAATGTATGAAAGTGGATAATTATTTGAGTAGTTATCAATTTATATTTGTATTAAATAATTAATTATTTTTATTTAATAACAGAACAAACATTCTTATTAAAAAGAAACAAAATCTTTATATAATAATATAGATGATGTATTATAAATATTAATTAATTTACTTCTTGTTTATCTCCTACTTTTAAAAGGTAATTTAAAAAAATTAAAATAAAAAACTTATTTAAAACTATTTTATAAAACCTGTTTTACAAATTTTTATAAACTAAAAAGATAAAAGTTGATAAAAATATTTTAATTTTAGTTTTTTTATTTTCATTTATAAAATTCAGGTATTTATAATAGCTACATCTATTGTATTTATTATAAAAAAAAATAATTTAAAAATTCTATGGAGATCTTTCATAATCATTAATATTATCTTTTTTTTCGTTTAAAATAATTTGTAAACTATATTTATTATATAATTTTTTAACTTATTTTAAAATCATTTCTTAAAAATAATTTTTATTTTTTTTAAATCAAACAAAATTCCAGGAAACAAATCTAATTATTATATTTTTCAAAATTTCAAACTCATCTTACTTTTATTCTATTTTCTTTATATATTTCCTTTTTTATTTCTATAAATTTTCTCTCTATCTTATATTTTTTCCTTATTTTTCTTCTATTTCTATTCCAATCCACCAATAAATAAAGTGAATGAATATTTTACATATAGAAAGCTTATCCTATTTTCATTTATAACCAACCATGTATCCCAAAACTATATCTCGGAATAGGTTTCACTGCTATTTTTATTTTATTTTATTAAAATAAAGATAGTAATTTGAGATAACGGACAGAGGTATACCTTATAAAGTTTTTTTTTAATATTATTAAATTAACTTATTCCAAAAATATTATCAAAATAAATTTATTTTATAGTATTTATTAATTCTCCAATTTTAAAAAATGGGGTTTTATGTTAATATCAATTAACAGCACTACTTTAAAAAAATTATAGAACGTACTTCACAATTTATATCAACTAAATGTATAGCGATCTATTTAGCAAATAGTCATGTTAAAAAAATTTATACTTAGCATTAACATACACTTTTAATTATGCTTCTATATTTCAATAAAACATGAGGAAGTAGGACCTATTTGAAATTTAAAACTTTATAAAATACTTCTTATCTTTATTGATCAACCGAAGTAATTTTAAAAAATATATTATAAGAAAATAAAAAGCCCACAATCATGCAACTAATGTATATTTGTCCCATTATTTTAAAAATACGGTTAGATTTACTGGAATTCAAAATAATCACATTTAAGTAGAGTTTTGGATTCTTAAAATTAATTGTTGTAAATCAAATTAATTTGGAAAGTAGACGTTTTTTAAACATTCTCATCATGAAAATGTTCATTCTACGCATGAATTTCATGGAAATTATAAAAACAAACGTAATTTTATATTTGGAATACTAATTTCAAAATATTTTTTTGTTTAAATTAATTTTCTCAAAATCTAACCCAAATTGAGTTTTAAATTTAAATTAATTTTAAGACTCTCAAAACAAGACTAAATCTATCTTAAGTTATATTTTAAAATAAAAGTTAACTTTTTACCTAATTTCAATTTACATTAGATCAATAGAACTCTGATTAATTTTTTTTAAATCATGAGATATTTATATAAAAATAATTAATTTTAAAAAAATATTTTTTTATAATAAATTATATTACTAAAATAATTTTTCATTTCATATATAATAACTAAATTCTTGAAATAAAAATTCCTTCACTTCAAAATATAAATTAAAAATTTACTTTAAATTCTTATTATTCATTAATCTAATCATCTATTATAATAATAATAATAATAATAATAATAATAATAATAATAATAATAATAATAATAATAATAATTCATTTTAATCATTAAAGTTTACTCAATAAATAAATATTAAAAAATTTCTCTAACTTTTAATATCAAGATAATTTATTTTTTTCTTCAATTTATTTATAATATATATATAATAAAATAATATTATTTTTATTTAATTTAAAAAAATAAGTATTATTTTATAAAACATTAAAGTCGAAATCTTACCCACTAATACAATCTAACCACCAACTAAACAAGTTAAATCAAAATTTGTATTTAAGCCACAAATTATTTTTCATTTTTTTTGAATTTTGTACACCGACCCATAAGACTAAACTTGGACTAGATCACTAGTGCGGGTTTTATACGAAAATTTTCATTTTTTTTGAATTTTGTACACCGACCCATAAGACTAAACTTGGACCAGATCACTAGTGTGGGTTTTTTATGAAAATTTATATTGCCAGGATTTGAACCCAGTACATTGTAGTCTAGAATTAGACCACAAATTATTTTTTATTTTTTTTGAATTTTGTACACCGACCCATAAGACTAAACTTGGACCAGATCACTAGTGCGGATTTTTTACGAAAATTTATATTGTCAGGATTCGAACCCATTTTCATTTTTTTTGAATTTTGTACACCGACCCATAAGACTAAACTTGGACCAGATCACTAGTGCGGGTTTTTTACGAAAATTTATATTGCCAGGATTTGAACCCAGTACATTGTAGTCTAGAATTAGACCACAAATTATTTTTCATTTTTTTTGAATTTTGTACACTAGTGCGGGTTTTTTACGAAAATTTATATTGCCAGGATTCAAACCCAGTACATTAGCAAGATTCGAACCCAGTACCTTAGAATTGAATACTAATACTCCAACCACTAAGCTACTATGATTTTCTGATAAATAACTTACAAATAAATTATATTTATATACAAAATATATAAATACAAATATATTTTGATATATTTATATATGTATATAATTATATATTTAATTTTTTTGATTTAATATACACTTTCTATGTCGGTTAAAATTTAACCAACATAGAAAGTGAACTTTTTATGTCGGTTGAAATTTAACCACTTTCTATGTCGATTAAATTTTAACCGAATAGAAAGTACTTTCTATGTCGGTTAAATTTTAACCGACATTGAAAGTGAATTTGCTCACATACCATGTCGGTTATATAACAACTGACATAAAAAGTTTATAATATTATTACAAAAATGTTACCGCTCTATATACTATGACGGGTGGATTACAACCGTCATAAAAAGTTGTCATAGAATCATATTTTTCCACTAGTGCATGTAAAATGCAAGTTTATCATATGTCAAATTTAAAGAAAAATCGCAGATTGTAGCTTCTATTGAGAAAATAAAATAAAAAATGCAGTAAAAGAGGAATTTGCTTAACCGAAAATTCATGGTGGGTTACTTTGACAGATTGAGGCTTTCAGGAATGTTCAACTAAAAATGAGTTTCATTATTTACAACCGCATCTCAAAAGCAGGAGTATTAGACACTGTTGTGTCAAGAGACTAGCAGCACGAGTGCCATAACACAACGGCACGGAAACCAGAATGTTGGAGTTTCATTCATATTTTTCACCACTAATTGAAGATCACTGAAATTGAGTATCAAGTTTCTAAAAAGTTAGTGCCTTAAGCTCTCAACTATGTAAGCAACATACAAATCCCTGCAAAATGAAACACCCATTTCAGAAATATAAAATAGGCATTTAGTTCCAAGTATCGACTCGTTTGACGTTATAACACCCAAATTTTCTAAGAAGTTTCTCAATATATTGTTCTTGGGATAGAAAAAATAATATCGCCCTTCCTTATGATTTTAATTCCTAAAATCACATTAGCTTCACCCATATCTTTCATTTTAAATTTAGATCCCAGAAACAAGTTAGTTCTTGAGACAATGTCAATGCATGTACTAAATATTAGTATGTCATCTACATATAAACATATAATGACACATTCATCAGTCTCAAATTTAGAGTACACACATTTATCAGCATCATTAGTTGAAAAGTCATTACAAAGTAGAACACTATCAAGTTTTTCATGCCATTGTTTTGGTGCTTATTTTAATCCATACAAGGATTTTAAAAGTTTGCACACTTTGTTCTCTTGACCTGGAACAACACACCCTTCTGGTTGAGTCATATAAATGTCCTCCTCTAATTCACCATTAAAAAAAGTTGTCT